GAACAGCTGAGTTTCTGTTTTCTGAGTTAAACTCTCCATATATTCATATTCTCCTGTGTTTTTCTGTGAGGTTCTCTAGGATTGATGTGATTTTACAAAACAAGATATCTAACTCTAACTTGTTTGTTATTTAGGTATTATATGATTTTAGCCGTATGGATATCTGATAGGGACATTTAGATTTTTATGGATTTTGTTTTTTAAACATTTTGAGCATTTCTCTTTATCTCTCTCTCACACGAATACACACACACACACACACTCACGTTAACTGATTCTTTGTCTCAGGTGGGCTGGATTTTGTCCGCTCTTGATCAGCTGCAGCTAAACCCTTCTCCTGCTGTGGCAGTACTTCCTTTGGGCACGGGAAATGACCTCGCTAGGACGCTAAACTGGGGTGGGGTGAGTGGAACTTCGGTTTGAACTCTGCACAGTCAGACACATTCATTCCAAACATCAGTCTAAATTTCATTGTAATTCATGTAGCATAGTCTGCTCATCCATTTATAGAATGGTTTGATGAATGGGCATATTTTGTACAACCCGTATGCATGTAGGGTTACACAGATGAACCTCTGAGTAAAATCCTATCTCACGTTGAGGATGGGAATATTGTACAGCTGGATCGATGGAATCTTATTGTGAAGCCCAACCCAGAGGCGGGGCCAGAGGAAAGAGACGAGCAGGTGACAGACAAGGTACAGTAAGAGCTCCACCTGCAGTGCTGTTTCTGTTTGTATCTGTGTGTAAGCAGCTGAAGAGTGATTGATGTTTCTCTTCTCCACAGCTCCCTTTGGACGTCTTCAATAATTACTTCAGCCTTGGGTTTGATGCTCATGTGACTTTAGAGTTTCATGAATCCCGAGGTTGGTGTAAAGCCACTATTCTGTCATATAAATGTGACTATTTAATAGCAAGACAGTGGCTGTGTAAAAGTTAAGGCTTGAGTTTCTTCTGCAAGGTCAGATTTATTGGTGCTAATTGAGATTAATTATGGTTTGTCCTCTTACTCTTCAGAGGCCAACCCTGAGAAATTTAACAGCCGATTCAGAAACAAAATGTTCTATGCAGGGGTAAGTGAAGCACATAAACTCAAACAGCAGAGTCCTCACAAAGTGCTCACTTCATCCTGTCAATTTGATCTAACTGTGAATGATTCATCCATGCATTTAAAAATGTTTTTTTTTTTTTTTTTAAGTTTTGACATTGTAATTCTTAATCAGAATATCGTAACTGGATCTTCCAGTATGCTGGGCTTCTCTAATCATTTAGTCCACCTTATCTCCACCTCTTTCTTACAGTCAACTTATAGCTAACATTCAGATTTGCCAATCAATAAACAATGCATAGAAACAAGTCCCTGCCCAACATTTTTTCTTTCTTTTCAATAACTTGAATGTACATCACAATACAGAGAGTATCTGAGAATCTGTCGCTGTTTCTGGTACATCACAACTTTATTGATCCCAAACCCCTTCGTTAACCACAACATTAAAAATGTGACACTGAGTTGGTGGTGACTGAAATGCAAATGATGTTTCCTTTTTCTACAGACAGCATTTTCTGATTTCTTGATGGGCAGCTCCAAAGACCTGGCTAAACACATTAGAGTGGTGGTAAGTATGGAGATAAACTAAACAAAGAACCCTTTGTGCAGAACAAGAGGGGAAATATGTGTGCATGCCTGTGTGCGTTTTGAAATGCAAATGAATATGCTTTTTTTAGGTTTGAGTCTAAGTCTTTTTGCATGCTTGTTTGTTTGCATTTCTTCCTCTTGGGGTTTAGCACTGAGAGATAGTGTGCCTAAATTTGAGTTGCAACCTTTTTTCTGCTGACTGTTGGTTTGTTTTGCTGATGTATTCAGTTTATACCACTTCCTTCTCTTTCTCATTCTCTGTAGTGTGACGGCACCGATTTGACCTCTAAAGTGCAGGATTTGAAGCTGCAATGCCTGGTCTTCCTCAATATCCCCAGGTAACACACTAAATCATTTTCTGTGATTTGTCTGTAAGTATGTTTTTGAAAGAAGTAAACTGTAATACTGTGAATTTTTTTTAGAATTTAAAAGAACTGTTTTCTATTTGAATGTATTTAAAAATGTATTCATGTGATGGCAAAGCTGAATTTTCAGTTCTACATAAATCTGTGTGAAGATCTGCATGTTTGGATGTTCATATTAATCACAGGTACTGTGCGGGCACTATGCCATGGGGCAATCCAAGTGAGCATCATGACTTTGAGCCTCAGCGTCATGATGATGGCTGCATTGAGGTCATTGGATTCACAATGACATCACTGGTATGTTTCAACTACCTGAATTAGTTTGAAGTGAGTTTTTATACGACTGGTGAATTTACAGTCCCTGTATTGTTTATGACTGTAGGCTACGCTGCAGGTCGGAGGTCACGGTGAGAGGTTAAATCAGTGTCGTGAAGTCACCCTCACCACCTTTAAGTCAATCCCCATGCAGGTGGATGGCGAGCCTTGCAAACTAGCTCCATCTGTTATTCACATCTCCCTGAGAAACCAGGCCAACATGGTGCAGAAGACCAAGAGACGCACATCAGTACCACTGCTCAATGGCCAACACTTTTTCACACCACTGTATATATATATTTACTACAAGGGTACCGTGGCAAAAAGATGAATGCTGTTTTTGCTCCTTTGACAAGCGCAGTCTGCTCTGATTGGCCAGCTGACCCAGTGCATTGTGATTGGCCGAACACCACAAGCACTGCAACTTTACAGATCTTCTTTATGCACCAAGAGCTTGTAACACTCCAAAGAGAAAGGAAAACTTGAAATCGCATCATATGACCCCTTTAACACCATGACAACTTTTCTCGACTGCGGTATCTTGCTTTCGTCTGTCATCTCCGACGATGTGACATTTTGTGTGGCAGTAGTAATATGTTATTGCCGCTGGTTTCAAAAGTAGCTGGTGATGGATTATTTACAATATTATCGTGTGAAGTATTAATAACATGATATTAAATATCACAGTTATCACCAGTACCGGTATATAGCAAAAAGCTGGGTATGTATGTGATATGAAGGAAAAGGTCTGCAATTTCTGAATGAGATTTAAAGAGCATGACTGCTCTTTAAAAGGGCGCAGCACCAAAATGCATGTAGACACACACAAACATTTATTTGGTATGAGCTGATGTTTAAAAAAATAGTCAGAGTGAGCAGAAAGTTAAACTGCTGGATTGATGTCTCTCTCTACTGAGCTGTTACTGAAAGTGTGAAAATTTAGTGTGATTTATTCACTGTCGCAGTCTCATTTCTTTTCCTTGGCACTTGAAGTGAATATATTACCCTCATAAATGGCTGCTAAGGACAGACAAGCTTGCTTAGTCCTGCTTAAATTAGATAATCGCTCTCTCTCTCTGAGGTTTTGTTAATTTCACACTTGGCCGATTCGAGGTGAACGAATTGTATCGATGGCAGATAGGCCCGTAATGAAACCTCGTTTAAAAAGCTAAATATCGGAAGTGGAGACAGATTTAATTAGTGTGGTGACACTGTACTTAGCCAAGACAGCATACTCACTGTTATACACAGCTGTTATCAAAAGCTTCATTTTGTGCTGTACATCTTTTGTGTTTGCATGTTTTTTTTTAATTCTATGAAATTTTTTTTTTCATCCAGCAGTCAGCAGCCATTTCCAGAACGATTACGGATCAGAGTGAGCCGTATCAGCATGCATGATTATGAAGCTCTGCACTACGATAAGGAGAAACTCAAAGAAGCTTGTAAGTATAAAACACACACATTACAGTCCAGAAAATACACTTGCGACCCCTGCTGTGCTGTGATTAAAGGGTTAGTTCAAAGCCATGACCGTGTCCTGCACACTGGAGTGGGGAAGGGCTGTTATGTTCTTTCTAATTAAAGGAAATAAATGATTAAAAGGGATTTAAGGAAATAAAGAAAAAGTAATAAGAACTTACAAGAAATTCTAATGGCCTGTTCACACCAAGAACCATAACTGTAAAGATAGCTATTACGATAAAGATATTAGCGTTCACACCATTGAACGATACTGTTCTGTTTATTATAAGCACAAAGTGCAGTTATGTCTTCTGCCGCTTTAAATGCGGAAGCTCTTTAAAATCAGGTGGATTCTGATTGGCTGTCAATGTTTTTATTGTTTATCTGCTGGACAGAAAACATTCTGTAAGACATTCCATTGATATCATTCCTCTTTGTTGTTATTGTTATAGTTATGGTGTGGACATCCCTATTTTCACAGAATTATGTTAAAATTAAATTACAAATGGTAAAACTTTTTTTTTCATCCCAACAACAAACAGAGCTGCATGTGCTGGAATGCAACAGGGCATCATCAAGAATATCAAATATTGGCCATTTCTAATTATTAGGGGGAAGTAGGGAAACTTGTCCTCCTCAATCCACTTGTTAAGTCTGACATCACACATGCTGGTTTGCAGGTTTCCAAGTGCTCTATCACATCCCAAAAGCAAACAGCATATGGTGCTAGTATACACTCACTCTGTGCTGTAATACTACCGAAATATCATGATCCTAACCTTTATCTCCATACAGAAATCTCCGTTGACCAGACAGAAATTCATCTTTTCTGAATCGTTAAAATATTGGTGACTGGGACGCTGGGAGCTCAGAGAGTGTAGTGTACACAATAAGTTTTTAAAAGCTTAGCTTAAATCTGTGCTTTAAATAAGCAGTGCTCATAAGCGTCTGTTGAGATAGTATTCTTCTCACTTGAAACGGACTGGAGACTTGGACTTAGAAACCCAGAAACCGTATTTGTTATGTCAGGACTTAACAAGCAGATGTCTATAGCGGTTATGGCCGTATGTTAGCTCACTCAAAAGTGGACAGAAATCTTTTGAGATTTTATTAAAAATATTTCATTTGTGTTTTTGTAAGAGTACATGATTCAAGCTGCAGATTATATTTCTCAGCACTAGGTGTCGTCCCATCTCTACAGTGAGTGATTATGCTATGTACGGATGGAATTAAGTGGATCTTTAAGAATACCTTCAGATGCAGCTTTATGCTCCTATTGTGTTTTGACAGAGCAATTTGTGCCGATCCATCAGAGATTTTAATGTTACACATTTCTGGTTTTGGCGATACATCAGCAACTGTTCCCAAAAATCAATTCTTAGCTTCACAATAAATTATGAAAATTTTGTTTTATCCTGCTAGTGTGCAAGAATGTCTTTGTGTGTGTGTGTGTGTGTGTGTGTGTGTGTGTGAGCAAGCAACAGTAAGTGTATACACCGTACATGTGCAGTTATAATCAATCTCGGTAACACTTTCTATGAAGCCCATATTTATAATGCATTATAAGGGTATTCTTCTTACGGCATTATAATGACCGCAAAAAAACGTATAATATGTTATACCATCTTATGAATATTCATAAGAACAGTTTTAATGTATTATAATTTTTACTTATTTGTGGTTATAGCTTTTAAGAGTATGATGATTTATAACACAGTGAAC